CCCAATTTTTGCGACTTTACAGACAATTCCACCATTCAGCCCTTCGTTAGCCATTCGGGTGAGACTCTTTAGAAAAGGAGTGTCATCGATACTGACACAGAGGTCTGCGATGTTACTGGCTGTATAAGAGAAATTGTGGTTCCCTTGAATGGTGGAATTCGTTGTGCCGTATGCCTTAGTCGGTCGGTTGATTCTCTTGCCGTACAGCATGTCAATCTGGACTCCTCGCCCTACCAACTTCGCTTCAGGATCAAAAGCAACTTCAATACAACTATTATAGTAAAGCTCAGTAAAATCGAGCAATCATCTAGTAGGGCACGTACGTAACTAAATGTACTAAGTACTAACTTAAAAGTGGGCAATTAACTCTAAGGCACCCGGCTCTCCTATCACTCATGATGATGTTTGGATACGTGGCCTACACCACTCATTGAAGCTCTCTCCACACAAAACTTATAGTGTTCGTCCCTGCCGAAAAGCCTAACCCTTCCAATAGTCCATTTCGTATAGAAGGGTCACATGGCTTGAAATGGACTGTTCCCACAATGCATGGGAATCCTAGGCAGTGCATTCCACCAAGGCAGACTTCGCTCGAGACAAGTTCAAGCTTACGATGCTCTCATACTCAGCATGATCTGGATTCAGCCTTTAGATAAGGTAAGTGTCGTACTCGGTGGATAAGCTTTGAATCGTAAATAGCAGGAATAGAAGGAGAGCTCGCTTTTTTGCCACATCGGCTACATGAACCCGAAGTAAAATCTTTCAAGAGCACGAATGAAGAGGACCACCCCAATGAAAAGAATATCCCTTGTCACCGTATTTTCTTCTGATGAAGTCAAGATAAGATCGCAGACAGCTTAATAAAAGGGCAAAGTTCATTAATAACGAAGATAATGAACAGAAAAAAGGGAAACAGAAAAACCGATGAACAGATGCCTAGGTGCAAGTCAGTTATGTGGGAAAACATGCTATCAGCTGTTAAGTAATCTTTACAAGGAAGCACTATCTCGTAGACGGGTCCCGAATCAGGTGGTAAGAAGCAGATGGACAAAAGAATGTTTTGCAGAGCGGGTACAGGGTACTGTATTCAGTAGAGTAAATTAGAATAAGTGCCTTTATGCTATTACCAAATACGGGCGGGCCGCTACGATTGAAGGGGAGTTGAATTTGTCTTGCATACTAAAAACATTTCATCCCCCTTTCTTCCTTCTGGAGTAGGTTAGCTGGTAAAAGAGCCGTCTAGGAAATCGAAAGTATAGACTTATACATCGGCTGGACACCGCAAGTCNTTGTATAGGCAGCATACGCATTCACATGCGATTACGATCCTGAATGGAAGTCGAATGCGGGGCGCATCTTCAAAGAATAGGGTTAATCAATATAAGAAGACATTCGACTTCTTTTATCATTTTTGCGGGTTCCAATGTTGCACCACCGATCCAATGCGGCAAAAAAGGAGATGCTGGAGAAGGGGTGAAATATCAATGAATCCAGTACCCTAGAAGATCCTAGATTGAATAGGAACTGAGCTCTACTGTAGGGTTTTTCCAAGTTTGAAAAAAGAGACGACTGATAAAGCAAAGATCACCACCCAAGTGATTTGTCACGTCGAACTTATTGGGCTGATAAGCGAGCGTTGTCCTTCCTGACAACCAGACGATAGATGTCCTTCCCACCCAGTTTCAATACCCACCAAAACTTTATCGATTGGGAGCTCATGAAAAAAGGAAAAGAAAAAGTATACTCAAAAGGAAACATGTACGAGACTTGCTAAGAGTGCCTATTGCATTGCAGCACAGTACGATGTGAATGCATTCTGGATGCGCCGTGCCGCCGTAATCCGCTTAAAATTGCACTACTGATGGATGCATTCTACAATGCTGCAGAAGTAGCCGGTAGCAGGAGATAAGGACGGCAAATGGTTGCAGGATATTAGGATGCCTACGCGACCGCCTGCATGCGCCATGTCGCCGTAATCCGCTTAAAATTTAAGTACTAATGGGTGCATTCGACAAAACTGCAGAAGCAATCAGTAGTCAGTAGGAGATAAGGACGGCAAATAACTTTTCAACAGTGTCACTTGATATGTGAGTTATCAATGACAAAATTCCATCGAATTGAAAATGCATAAACAAGTCCAATTAACGATAACGAGCAGAAAAATTATGATTATCAACGAATGCAAACGGAAAACAAACGAATAAATAGTAATAAGCCGATATCGAATGAAGCAAACGTTCAAGCACCAATTTTTCAAAATTACAAGTACATTGATAAAAGTTTATTGAACAATTTAATCATTTGAAAAAAGCTGGTCAACGAGCAAAAATCGCCAGGAATCGTAGGGAAGCAAATGCAACAAATACAGCTATACGGTATTTTACAGTAATACAGTGTTCTAGAACAAAGGTAAATAACTTATCAAGCAGAAAAGAACGTGAAAAATGTACAAAGCATCATACAAGCAGCGACCAGTGGGTGAAGTTGTCCTTCCTCTTTGAATCGGCCTTCTCAAATATTCCCGACAAAAAAATCCCCCCGTCTGGGCGATTTCACTTGCTCTTTGGCTATGCCAAGATTAATGATGAGCTATGGGAAATAGCTATCAAAGACCCAACAGTCATTGCAATATAGACTATCAAGGGGACAAAACAGAAAGCGAGGAAGCCGACTGGTGTAGAGCGCTGTCGGCCACGCACGGCACATCAAGTTCAATTCCAGCCTCAGACAATTTTGGAAATTAACAATCCGACAGACAGAGAGAGTAACGGAGCCTGTTTTTGAACGACGACTGCCAACTGTCAATGAAATATCCACGTCTGTAACTGCTTTCTAGTAGTGCCCTACATTTTGATGAATTTCTTAAAACCTGTTTCCAGACTACCGTAATCCTCTGTAACGGTTATAAAACAATACTCAGCTTGGTCATTGTTCAAATTCAAAGGTCGACAAAATCGACAACGAATTTTGAAGCTGGTTAGTGTTCAATTCAGGCTCCTAAGCCTCTCAGCAAAAGGAAAATCGATCAGGGCAGCTATTTTCCCACGCGATATTGATGCTATGCTTACAACAACACAATGACGCAGAACCTACAAGCCCTGACATTCGTGCCATGGGTGGGTCATCGCCCTATGCATCGTCCAAAACAAAACCCGAATAAATGGCGACTTGGAATGCTCACCACCATTAAATTGCGATGAATTCAATATTTCTGTCACCCTTAGACTAGGAAAATAAGGTTTTGAAAAATTTGTTCAACCCCTCCTCTGACAATGTAGTACCCGAAATTCTACCCGACCTTAACCAACCCTTCAACTACCACGTTCATTGTAATGTCACAAAAAGTGTTGGCCAGAAAAACCCATATAAACTGAATATCTATGCCTTTACTGAACGATAAATCGATCACAGATAATCTCAAATTAATAAACAGTAAGTAAACATCAATAGGTCGAGTAGAATACACCACCACCGGTCATTTAAATCCTCTATTCAATCTACTACTCATAGCGGACCCAAAATATACAGTGCAGCTCACAAACGAGCACCATGAAGCGGACGGTCTCACCAGAAGCAAGCAGTCGCGAGCATTCTGGCCAGCCATACCGCAACTGGGTGCCTTCTAGGCTGCTGCTCAGCCGAAACCACGTTTGTGAACTGGACTGAGGCTATCGGGGTAAATTTTTTGGACTATACTATACAATCACAGATATTTGGACTACATTATGCATTAACTAGTTACAGATAACCATGGTCAGAAAATGGGGCAAGTGTTCAAATGTATGGAACAGAAAATTACAGCAAACAGTATGTAGAGAACGTTGACCACAAAAGTAGCAATTCAGACATCAGGGAGCATTCGGGCGTTGCCACGGTCAATGCAAATCTGAAAAAACACGATGCATGCAACACTCTAAGAAGGTAACAATCAATGTGAGCCTTGCTTTCAAATGCTTTCAAAACTGGGAAAAGGCATAAATAACAGTTTTCTAAAACCCATGCAGCAAACTGTCGCTCATGAATCCTAGCTGTTGTATTACTGAGTTGCTTTCTTGACCTCTCTATGAGGCTTTGCCTTCTTCAGAGGCTGAAATGGTTGTAACAATTTGTGACTACCCCATCAAACGTTTCCATTGTCTGGCAGGTGAGTGGATCACCTTCAAAACGTGCCCTGCGTGCCCTGGGTGTTTTGAAGGTGATCCACTCACCTGCCAGGCAATGGATACGTTTGATGGGGTAGCCACAAAATGTTACAACCATTTCAGGCTCTGAAGAAGGCAAATCCGCCGAAACTTGAGCCTGGTGAAGCTTTTGTATTTGGAAGCTCAAGAAAACAGCTCACTAAGAGCAGATATGCCAAGGTTCATAGAAAGTCATATGTGGACGTTATACTACCTGTCTTCCCTGTACCACCAGGTTTCGCTCTCTCGCAACAATCGCTCATTTCGTGCAAAACAAGATGAAAAGCGAAATAACCTAAGAACTATGCAGACTGAGAAGGTAACACAATATTTTTTCAACTTCTCGACGAACAACCACTCCATCTATCTTCACATAGGACAGAGAAAATATTTGAGGGTCTATTTGCTCCCTTCAATTGGCTGCAGGGTCACCCAATATTTATGGCAGGATCTAATCTAATCTCAGATCGCCCAACAGGCTCCACTCAAGGAAAAAAGGCTTCGACGGACTTCATTGCTCCAAGGACGCTTCGTCGGGTAACCCAAGAAAAAGGCAAAGTAACTAAACACCCATCCAATCTGACATTTGTGTAAGTATATATGACGAAGACGGTGATTTCAATAGACACAATACTGGCTCGATAACAGAGTCTCTGAGGACGGGCAAAACCTTTTCTGATATATGTTACTTCAGGGAAAAAAATTCAGGCACATGCATTACACCACAATCAACAAAACAACAAGAACACGAAAAAATAATGAAACACAAATCCCACCTATAAACAAGTCGTTTTTATCTGGCCTTCCAGAAAGGATCGAATGAATTTAATGGATCATTAGGATCAAGTTGAGGAAGTGGGACGTCACCGCCACTACGGATGTGCTCATGGAGTTGACGCTTTTCCAATCGCGCTTTATCACCTGGGCCAAGCTCAAATTTTGTAGGATCCAGAATATCTGATAGCGGTAGAACACGTGGTGCCTGTAAAACACTAAAAACACTAAAATAGTACTAAAACCATCCCAAAAAGTTAGAAATGTCTACTTCACAACAAAACTCAAGGAAAGCAAGACGGAAAAAGCGCTCGATCCTAGGCTGAACTAATGCAGCCATGGAGAAAATGAAATCAACGCTTTGCAAAATATGATAGGGATTGTTATTACTGCCGTTCCCTTCGAGGAAGCAAATAAGAGCTAAATGCAATACTTATAAAAAACCGAATCAGAGGTGAAATTGTGAAAATAAAACGGCGAAGTAAAAGTGAACAAAACTCTGTAGGAAATAATGCTTGAGCGTAGACTCACTTGGGGCACAGTTGATGCAGTAGTAGCAGGAGGTGCGACCTGAATGGAGAAGCAGAATGAAAATAAGAAGAATGAGAAGAATGTGGCGAACACAAGCAAGAGAACTCACGGGTCGATCCACCGGTGCAGTGACATTTTGATGTTGTATTGGCATCACTGCCGCTGCCGGACGAGGCATTTGAGCGTTAGCCTAGAAAAAAAAGAGCATTCCGAAACCAAAACTGATGAAGACACAAGTGTAGCTGAAGGTAGCAGCAAAAACCAAAAAACAGAACAATCAACAGATTACAATCATGAACCTGTGCTGGTTGTGAAGATAAAGTTTCTTGAAATTGAGCGGGTTGGACCGGTGTGACAGTAGCAGCCGTTGGGTTTTGGTTGAGCTGTTGAGCCGCTTGCGACACGGCGACGTCCGGTAAGCGATGAATAGCCGACAACGTTATTGACTCAGCTGATACTGACGACGATGGCGCGCATGATCGTAGTAGATCTGTAACGTACAATAGAGCCTTGGAATCGTGATATCGATTTCGACGAATCTGAAGGGACCTAAAAAGGGACTGGCGTAGAAGAGAGAACTGAAAAAGCGCATCGAACTGTGACATTGTCGATGCGAAGCCACGAACCCTGCGTTGTTATAGGGGAGCTTCCACTTAAGGGGATTGGACACCATCCAACTGTTAGGAAAGAAATAGCGGAGAAATCCGAAAAACAATTAACCCGAATTTTGAACATTGCCATCAATACACTTGAGCGACGAATAGTAGCTCTTTAGCTTATTTTAGCTCAAATGTCAATGTGCTCATATGCGTCTTGAGTCTTTATCGGTTCTCCCGATGGGAAAATAGAGATGGAGAGCATGACTCAGAAAGAAGCCTTTGTGACACGCCAAACATTACGGGTGATTTGACCGCAATGCGAGAGACCTACGCTGCAGTAGTCCATATCACGTCAACCAAATGAAGAAAAAGGAGTAATAGAAGGAAAGAAACGTTAAGCTGCCTCATGAGGGGCTACCGATCAGTATTAAACAAAATCAACGATTTTAGAAAAAACGTGCGAACTACACCATTCAATAAGGTGGCAATGAACAAGAATTCCAGAAAAGGTTAGGATAGTTACAAGTAATGGAGGAAATCCCCAATTTCTTCATAAAAAACTTCCAGGTATAGATGTGCTATGAAAAATCACCCGGTATCAGTTGAAAGGAATTAAGGGGTTGAATGGAAAGAAGACACAAAGTCTGGAGAAATAAAGAAGCGAGTCTAACAAAAAGAAGTCCCACTTTGATTTTCCATACTCTTTGGCTGGGGTATCATGGCAGGAGGCAAATTGGTGTTGTCAATAATTCCATCCAAAAGATCCTGAAATTCAACTCTAATGATTTACAATTCTGAGTTGGTAGACAATGAACGACATTTACAAACCCACCACATTGGAGACGGGCTTTTGAGCTGGTTGGTATGTTTGCACTGGGTTTTGAACCTTAACATTTGAACAATGACATTTCGATATGAGAACTTCCAAACCCATTGTAATTGCCAAAACAAATCCTATACCACTTGGTTGGGTTGACATTGTTGTAAAGGTGGAGTAGGTGTTGAGTTGGGAATCACGCCTACAACTGGAGGAACCGAGTGCCAAGGCGATGGCGCCTGTAAAAAACAACTAATAATTGAATGTTAATGTAAAAAGGCATGGTAGATCCAGGGCATTACCCACCACATTTGATGGTGCACCAACATGCCACGGCGACGCTCCTGACGGTATCAATGGAGTAAACTGGACAGGAGGCTGAACAACTTGGGGTACTTGTGTTAACACAGGCGCTCCTTGCTGGTTGGTCTGCAAAATGCCTTGATCAAAAACTAATAACGTGATAACGAGAGCTTTTCAAGAAGTCACCTGTTGTCCAGCAGGAGCTGTTTGAGCTCCCTGCATTGGTGGCACTCCAAAACTAGCCGATTTTTCAGTTCCACTCACATTTTGTTGAACTACAGTACCATTCTGGTTCAAGTTCGGCGTAGTGTGGATCTGGCTGCCTTGCACAGGCAAAGCAGCAGGCGGAGCTTGTGTTTGACCGTAAGGCTGTGAAAAATGCTGAGGACCAGGGTGGGCCAAAGCAGACTCACTCTGAGGCATCACACCTGGTTGAGGCTGCATGCTCATTCCAGCTCCAGGAGGTACTCCAGGAATCACCGCCGTAGTAGGCTGTTGTGGGGGAAAGCCATGAGGGGCAGGTTGCTGCATAGAGGTCGATGCAGGCTGCTGTGCTGTAGCAGGAAATGATTGCACAGTTTGCTGAGACGGGATAGACATATACGGCTGTTGTGTTCCTGCCGGAGGCTGAGGAAGGCTCGTAGATGAAAAAACCATATGCTGTTGAGCTGGCTGCATAGGAAGTTGTTGCATATTAGGTGGCGGCATTTGAGGAGCTCCGGGCTGAAAACATCAATGGAGCTACGATTCAAGAAAATTTCCAAACACTGATGTACAAGCACTGATGGACCCAACAAAACTAGGCTGTGGTCTAGGAAAACGTCCAACAAGGTCCAAGAGTTTTAGGGCAGAAAAGGCATATTCATAACGTGGAGCTTTCGACAGGAATTTCCTAATAGGAAATCAGATACCCAGGACACGCTCCAAACCTTTGCTTTACTTTATATTAGAAACGCCATTCCCAGTATTAAGTCACCTTTCTTAAAAAATCTGGAAAAGAGTCTCAGTACCCACCCAAGACAAACAGGAGCTAAATTCTTTCCTTCTAACCCATACAGGGCAACTCATGGGAATGAGCTTAAAAACTGTGAAAACATTGGAGCGCCGCACTGCTTTAACAATCCTCTTCAAAAAAGCGGCAGCAAAACAGAGAGGGAGAGAGCGGAGAGAAAACTCAAATAGTAGCCAAAAAAGGATGAAAAAACCAACCTGTTGGACTTGATTCCACTGAGCTGCTGCTGCGCTGGCATTCACTGAAGCTATTGGCGTAGCCACAGCAGGAGTTGGCAAGCTTTGTATGTCATGATGCGGCTGATATTGTTGCGGCATATACATTGCTCCCGGTACTGGTGCTTGTTGTTGTGTTGACAGCGATGTGTGGGTATGATGTGTCGACGGCTGCAGTGGTTTCGTGGGAGTGACATGACTCTGAGCCATCATTTGTGGTGCTTGATGCGCACCGTTTTGAACAGCATAGGCAGAAGTTTGCAAGTGCTGAGGGACACTCAGAGCAGGATTCTGTGCCGCAGCTTGCGCAGCATACGACATCGGTGGCATCGGAGGCATCTGAGAGTATTGCAAATGCTGAGGTGCTGGGGACATATGCTTGGGTTCTTCGTGATGATGATAATAGGCTGTGGAATCTGGAAGAGCGAACTGTTATTATTACTCACTGCTCTGCACAAAAATGAACTTACCTGGTATGCTACTCGGTGCAGGAGAGGGAGGACCACCTGCATAATGATCACCAGGGAGAACATACTGATGATGAGGAGCGCCGGGGAACACGGCTGCAGGTGTAGGACTTGGCTGAGGAGGTTGATAGGTCATGGGTTGAGGTGGAGGGATATACCCAGGCGGCGCACCCGAGGCCGCAGCCATCTTATTGAGATAGAACTCTTTGTAGTCACCGAAACGAGGGCGAGCACCTAAAAAGACTCGGGGAGTTGAAAGGACGATCTTTAACAGTGCATAACCAGTATTACCTGGCACTCCAGCTTGAGCTTGAGGTCTTGATCCAGGCATGCCACCAATAGAAAAGTCGGCAAGGGCTTCACGAGCTTCATTAGCCCGTTTCAGCGCAGCCATCTTTTCTTCCAAAGCTCGCTTCTCGGCTTCTCGTTTTTGCCGTTCAGCTCCAACTAAAGCCGTTACTGCACAATTCATAGTACGTTTTATCATGAAACGTTAATTTTGCTTCGACTGCTATGAGTAAACTTACAGGCCGTTTCAATTCCTTCCACAGCAAGAGTGAGCTTACTGAGGCGATCCAGCAACTTTAGATAAAAGCTGAAGAAAAAATCAGTTCAAAATGGAGGTTCTTCAGCGACAATATTCTCAGTGCCATTGTATAAATTAAGAGCAATCAATAATACATAGAATGTTATCGTTTAGTCCGCGAAAAATATTCGCTGCGCTTTTTTGCATACAAATCCATAATATTATACCATGGAACGATCAGAATATCATGCTAATCGAAGAGAAATGGTAAACTATGAAAACTCAAAGCAAAACTGATTGATGAAGACAAATAAAAACACTGTCTCGGAGGTGGGTTTCAAGCAGAAGTACTGGGCTATAATACTTTAATTCACTCACTTTCGTCCGTCCTCCACTTTCTGGCAAACATCACAGTAAACATCGTAGGCAGTCACCAAGGTCATTATATGCTCGGAACGTCTGAAATCATATTTTCAAGATTAATATTTTACGGAGTTACAGAATTCACAATATGATGAAACACAAAAATAAGTGCTTGTTTTAAGTTTAAAATAAAAATAAGTCTCCATATAACACGAGTCTGGAAATTAGAAACAGGAAGCAGTGAGAACGGGGATAGCATTTCGCGCAGCAGCAACGTCATGAAACTCAGCATATAAATCAGCTCAAAGACCCACGTATTTAACGTTGCCTTGATCTTCTTCCTATATTCGGAAAAATCTGCATTCGCCTCAGTTAGTGCAGAGAGTATTTTTTCCTGGGCATTCAAATTGGCATCAAGATATTTCAACGTTTCGTCGTGCTTTTTCAGTTCAGTTGAAAACAATTCCTGCAAAATGGAGGATTCATGTAACAACTTATCAAATCGAGGATCCAAACAACTACCCAGAGCCAACCGAACAAGCAGTAGAAGGGGTTGAAGTTCAATTCACCTTGTGATCTGTGTCCCTTTCAGATAGCAACTTTTTCGCAATGTTGTCATTATTCATCTCTTCCGTGAATCTCTGCAGTAACTGTGCTCGTTGAGTTTGCATTTCACGCGTCTTATCCAACACGCGTCGTAAAGCTGCGCCCTCTTTAGTGGAACCTTCAAGCATTTAACTTTAACGTCACTGTGTTCCAAAGACAGATCAATCAATGCGATTCACCAAAATGTACCCCTCTCAAAAAAGACATTAAGGAAGCTTAATGTGGGACGAACGAAATCAAAAAATGCGATAATCGGTTCTAACAATTTTTAAATTTCTTTTCAACCACCGAACAGCTTACAAACAAACCTGCATTTATAGCCGGTCCAGCGAGCTTAGACGTCAGCTCTGCTATTGGGAGACTGAGTAAATGAAGATTTGTAGAGTGTGCAGCTAACGCCTTGTGTAGTTCAACATTGTTTGATCTGAAAACAACTCAAGAATAGGTAAGTAATAAAATTATTGGTGGATGGATGGTGTGACAGTTATGCCAACCGTTACACCCACAACAACTAATGGCATTTTGGAGAAAACGGCAGCAGGGGAAATCATGAGAAACAAAAGATTAACACATTAAAGCTCTGGACTTGGACTATTGAAGAGCAAAGAGCAACAACAAACCTCGCTTTCTGATGGTGTTCAGTGAGTCTCTCCAATTCCTTCTTGATCGCCTTGTAGCCTTCGTCCGATGTCTATAAAAATCATTCACAACAGAGGGAAGCATTACATGATTTGATCAGCTCCGGACAGTAACTCGCCAATAATGAATGACATCAGATAGGGGCACTCACAATCTCGGGCAGGTCGACGTCTGCTAGTCTTCCAGTTAGACCACTTAGTTTGGCACCGGCTTCTCGAGCTAGATCACCCACTTCTAAAAAATAACTAATCAACTTATTGTCATCCCTTCTTATTTAAAATGAATGCCCTTGCTTACTCGTTAATGTTTCAAGAAGTTTAGGAATGGCATCTGGCTGGGTGGTCAATGCAGCGTTTCTCTCAAGCAACATGTCTGGCAAGATTGGGCCTGTAGAGTCTGCGTCCAAATCGATTTCATCGATTCGTAAAGATACAAGAAAGGAGCTAAAACAATGGTATACTGTCGCTAAAATTGGAGTAATTGCTGTTGCTTAAAACTCACTTCAGCTCTTCATCTCGCTTATCTATTCGTTCGATTACCTCACGTTTGAGTTTGGCTTTCTCTTCTTCGTACTCGGACACTGCCTTGATGACGCCAGGAGGTAACAAGCCACCAAACAGATCCTCCCCTCCTACAGAAATATCGAGGGGGTCGAAAGAAAGAGGGCGCACCTTGCAAAGTCCCTAAAATAAGACATCTTTGAAACATAAAGGAAAACAAAAAGTAACAGTCACCACCTCTAAATCTTTACACAGCTCGTCATTCGCAGGAATACGTTCATGATAAATAAACTCATTCTCCTTCTTGGCATTTGTCAATCTAAAACTCAAAGCAGTCTGAGCGAAGTTTCACGAGTTTACTTGATGGAAAACGATCCAACTGAGAAAAAACACACTAAAACCATACTTTGTTCCAACCACGTCAGAAAGAAATCCTATAGATGCCTTCATCGTATCACGATCTTCTTTCTCTGCAGCTTTGAATACAGCATTCAGGTGATCATTTGCGATTTTATAGTAACCATATCTAGAAGAGAACGTTTAAATAACGAAAATACAATCATATTGAACAACTTGGGAAAAATGCCACCTTGCTCCCATCCTTTTGTCATCATCAGCTTGACACCCCAAATGGATCATTGCTATGCAACCATACATTTCGCTCTTAATCGCACATGTCCTTGCCCACAACTAAAATTAAGTAACCGTATTGAGAAATCAATATGACCGTGATTTGCACATTTAGGTACTCTTCCAATATACGAATTGGTTAACTCGTCAGAATATTAGAATAGAATAAAACTAAAAAAGGAAATATGAGAAGAAAAGCTTGGACAACGGGAATTCCTTGGTGTAGGATAAGAACCACAACATTACCATCAATTAGTAATGCGCAAAGGTCCATTATGAAGAAAAATAGAAACAAAAATAAAACAAGCCGGGGAGGAGCTTATTAGTAACTCTATATTAAAAATGACCTTGTACTTTTGTGATGAGACGTAATCGCACAGATTCGAATTCTCTAGATGTTGATAACACTCCTGGTATCTATCGCGTAAGTGAATAGCCAATTTCGCGACAACTAAATTGCTTCGATGATCAATGAGACTTTTCTCGAGTAGGCACTCTTGAGCTTGCCCCTGAACACATAGAATTAGTAAAAAAAAATTACAACTCGTTGAAGTTTTAATAGGTCTTCCCTGACCTAGACAACGAGAACGTTAACTCACCAAGAGCACATTGACAAAAAAGGTTAGTAGCTCTTTGTCGAAATCTACAGATGCATACTTTGAAGCGTTCATTTTATCACGAAGATGTTGAAGGGGCCATGCGGCATACTGGTAGTGCATGAAGGCATTTTTTATACTCTGAAAGTTACTGATAATTTTCAAAAATTCCTGCTCGAAAACTGCAATTTGCCAGCAAAAGAGGTCTGAGAAGACTCACATCTTCGTTCTCTCTTCCCTCATTCACAGCAATGCTAGCGTGAACTGCACCAATGTTGTACATGACGCAGGCTAATTCAAAGCCGACGTCATCGTAAGTAGCGGAATGAGCTATATCCATAGCTCTGTCATACCTGAACACGGGATACCCCCTAATGAATCTTAATTCTTCAAATTTCCTCGAATAAGTGGAAGAATGTATGGTTTGGCGATATCTAATTATCGAGAAATGAATTGCTGAGCAATAAGACCGTTAGTACTGCAATTTGACTGACTCAAACCAACAAAGAGCGGGCACAAATCTCAAGACATATAGAATACAACAGATAATAGAAAGTTCACATACCAACAAAATAAAACCTTTATTGGATCACCCTCCTCCATAGGAAACCGGTTCTTCATCATTAATAATTGTGCATAATAACGTTTCAATAAGCAAGCAGTTTCTACATCAGCATATGTAGTGCTTATTTTCTGAAATGAAATAATGCTTTGTCACACCGCGAAACGTGGGGTCAGATGTACAGCGGCAAAACTATATGATTAGATCAACAAATAAAGAAGATACCTACACACACAACACATTCAAAATGTGAAAAATATAAACAAAAATCAATCATAAAGAAGGCTCACCTGTTTTAAACTGATCAATTCTGTTATAGCATTATCATATTTACTTGGATCATCTTGAAAATGTAGTAGGATATACTGCAAAGAATGAAATCAATGAAAAACTACATCACAACGGGAAACAAAACTTCCTGTGTAAACTATGATTTACGAGAGAAGAGCTTTCGATTCACAGTTTGACCTTTTGAGCTCCTCTCTTTTCCTCAGTCCATGTATAACCTTCAATACGACCTTGAAACGTACCTCCTTTATTTTTAACCGGAACTCGTCATCATATTGATTTGCCGGAATTTTTGGCTCAGGAAGTAACATCGGTACACGAGGCATGCCCTCCATTTCTACGAATTAATATTTTATGTCAAATACGTGATTGAAAAGTCTGGAATTATGTTCAACATTAATTAATTGACTGAGGAAATTTACCAGAAACAGTTAACAGAGGGGACAGTATACTTTGAAAGGACGTTCAAGGGTATAGGGACACTGATCACGATACGGAGGTCGAGCGGGCGAGATCACTGAAAACCGTGGTCCCACAAACCACCCACAGCACCTAGGATCAACTGCTCTCCAAAGCCCACAGAAACAAATAACAGATGCAACATTACTCCTTTCCTGAAAGAGTGACTACCACTGAGCAAAATGTCACATAGGACAGCACACAAGCTACAGAAATCTTTCAAAAAAACCGTTAAATTAAAGAAATAGTTTTAGAGGGCGCATCTTGACACTTTCACAATCACAGAGACGCCTTATCATTTGTATCGGGTGAGCTACACAACGTGCGGTATTGACGGACTTTTGCGTACAGTACTTGTAGGTATACGAAGTAGTAGAAAACGTTTATTGAGTGCTGCGATTCTTCAAAATGAGCTCGAAATGTTGTTTCTCTGCTAGAAAAGTTCTTAAGCACAGCTGTGGGCTCGCCAAATCGGCTACTCTTCCTTCTCAAAGGTTTCAACTCCAAACCTGCCAGGGAATACCTCTAATTCCAGTAGGAAGGGGAAAAAATTGCGAAGAGTCTCCATCACCGTGATTGCCGCGATATCAAGAAGGGTTCAAGAAGGCGAAGAGCGACAAAGGGCTTAACAGTCACAATATGCAGAACGAACGAGAACTCGGAGACAACAAAAAGACAAAGATCATGATGAGGAACGGAAAATTGCGACCGCAGAATGAGAAAAATTACTAAGAACGAGCTTTCAGCAAGCGAAATTCAAGACAGGCGACGTACAGAGTTACTAAGACATCATTTACGAAACAGAGCTTTCACGATTAGAAGCAGAAGAACAGCCCTTCAGAATATCAGCATGGTGGGTTCATGAGAGTTGGTTTGAGACTGCCACCTGCATCGCCTGTCGTCCCGTTGATCATCGCTTTCTTTGAACGGGAACCAGTAACACCCCATTCGTTCCTGGCACGAGCCACAGTGGTCCAGTGAATCGTCCTCGCTGAAGGGACACGTGGCTCAGCATTTCTTTCGTTCAGGGCTCTCGTGAAGAAGTCTGACCATCGCATGAGGGCCGCCCCGGTGTTCTCTTAACGCCCCGAGGGGTCCAATCAGTAACCGCCCTGGTCATTTCGTAAAAATATCCACAGCAATTACAACAACAGATTCGTTTATGATCTGGGTTGGATACTCTACGACACGACACGGGCCTTATCAATCATATTGCTCTTGAATAAAAAACATCGAGCTGCAAGGAAGCGGTGTGAGAACGTTTGTCGGTAATCAAACTTGACCCGGCGCCGTTAGAATGACTAGACGCCAGATGGCTGCTTTCAGAGTTCTCGTAAGGTCGTTGAACTCTGAGAGCAGCCTCAGAGCTAAGGTAGAGTCGTTGAACTCTGAAAGCAGCCAGTGAAGTAGCCGCAGTCCGTGTTGGAGACCAGAGAGACTTACTAGATCAGCACGTCTCGCCGTAGATCTGCAATCAGGATTGTTATGTATACGCGTCTGTGACGTCGGATGTGATTTGCTTCACGCAGTTTTGTTTTTTAGCGATGAGCAATTATTGGGAAGCATTGCAGTTTGTTGTTGATAAAATCATTCTACATGATAGGAATTGACTCTGTTGGAGGAGAAAGATTTGAAAGTAGTAAGGACGTCAACTAATTAGGGCATAACATTGCCTGTTGAGATCACATATATGCACAAATAAAAAAACATTTTTGAACAATATTTATTTATTCGAAAAGTTGCACCATTTTACAATTGGGATGAGTTGCTGATTCGCTTCCAGGTTAGTGCAAAAGTAGCGATAGCAGTGTGGCAATTCAACATGAGAACGTTAAGCAGAATTGTAGTTGTATACACAGTTTTTCTCATTCGCCAGTAAAGTCTGCACTGCATGCAGTAGTATATTCGCTTATGACTAGGCTTATAACGTGTATGCTCCGTACTACACAAAGTGATGAAGGAACAAAAAAGACAATTAAAACAAGGTTTCAAACTCGATTACGGCAGTCACCGGCCGGCTCAGAACAAAAAAAAAATGCCGAGTGAAATAAATGTGAATGTGAATGTGCAATACAACAAGCAGAGATGAACGCTATTGGAAATTTTTGTGCAACATATATGGTATTTGAGGAGGTACAGGCAATCAAGAGGTCGTACAAAGTGCAAATAGAGAAAGAAGCAGGACATAACAGGCCGAAGTAAAGGATACAGCCCAAAATAGCGTGTGCTGTAAAAAGAAAACTTTACGCTACAATGGCGAATTCAGTTCTCAAGTTATTATAAACAGGTGGAAGTTTTATATTATCATAAATGAACTCGTAAAGAATCCCAGAATTCAAAAACAAAGAATTAATCCGTATCTATAACTAAATTATCACATACAAACAAATAATTTGGCTCATAGCATCGCATCGATACATAGTGGTTACAGGGAGATGACGAATTATCCGTCTACCCCAAGTGCGATCACAAATAGCATAAAATGTGAGTTCTTCAAAATTATTTTCTATCTCAAAAAGGAGCGTAATCCAATCGCGCAACCTGTTCAAACTGATGGCGCACCGGTTGCACTAGAAGGAGGCGCGCAAGTACGATAAAAGATGAGATTATACTCCTCAAAACCTCCATGAAGATGGTCTTCACTAGAGAAGCATGACTCAGTCGTGAATCCTACACGGAAACGATAGGCGGACTGCAAATAACTGCCAATCGACAGTTCGAAGGTGTCGTCGGTGATCTGCAATTGATTCCACTCAGAGGCAGGGCCATAAACAGTAATTTTAATAATTTGTATTGATCAGCACCTGATTAGCCATAGGATTCCTTAGACGTTCCGCCTTGAAATTGTCACTGTTAAATGCACAATATTTGTGTTGGAAGTCGGCCAGATATCCACAGTTGTTTACGAGTTTTCCTTTTGGAACCCTGTGCATATTGGATTAGTCAATAGAGCCTTGAAAAAATACAAATAAAAGAGTAAAACTCACGAAAAGGTGATTTCCAATGGAATAGACGGCATGTATGGTGATACTGGAATGTACATGTTGAAGCGACCACGTTTGCTGTTACAGCTTTGCTCGATACAATAGCGGTTGTCAATGGTGACGTTCAAGCTAGGAATCATGATGCGTACGCCTCTACCAAGCGGCTTCCCGAGGGAAATATCGGGCGCACTACGGGCTATCATGTTCTTGGTGTGTTGGCCCAACGTTACGGTTCCTTCCATCTGAATCAATGGATGAAATTGAGAATCTTGAAACGATCTCTTGATTGAAATCTTTACAATGACTGCGTGACCACCTCATTTACCTGATTTCCAGTGTGATATCTGGCGCCACCACCACAACAGTAGGTATGACAGTGATTCGATTGGCATACGGCCATTAACGGTGGTGCATCTGGTTGAAGCATTGGAAGATATGGATGATCTGAATATTTTAAATTTTATATCTGAGAAGGCATGGGTGGTCAATAGTTCTCCCTACAGAATGAGCAAAAAAATGACAGTGGCCCTACCGATCTGATATATCATGTGTCCGACGCCCTCAGTTGATCCTCCAGGTTTCGAGGGCGGTGTGGCGTTCAGTGGGTAGAGGTGATGATATCCGTAATTGCGACTATGCCAATCCAAAACGTATAGAGCCGACATTGCGATCAGACAAGCAGCCATGACGACCACCAGAGTGATGATCGTTCCTTGAGTTAATTTCGAATTGCAGAGCGGTTCCTGACGATGACATTGGGAACGGCAGGCGCGATTCTGAAAACATACGGTGAGGGACCGAGATGCATCGATGAAGCAGCTACGACTGCATACCTTTCGTTTCTCACGTCCCTCTTTAGTCACCGACGGAGCAGTGGATGCTAACGATGTTCTTGAGTAGGACAAGAAACTCTTGTTGTCACTGACAATGCCAGACGACTGCTCACTTAGATTAGAAGCAATTGAGCCGATCAACTTTTTCCTTCGAGCGTATCGCGCAAGACGTTGGCTTATTTCTTCAACCTTGAAAAAGAACCCACGTTATGGGTGTCACACAATCAATAGTGTGAGTCAACAGAACCCAACAAACCTTATCGTCGATTTTTGTGTCAAGGTCTCCAGTAAGCCTGCACAGCTCCTGCATTGCGAGCACAGTCTCGTAAAAGATGCGCGATTCATCAACAGTCAAGTGCGTACCAATGTCTCGAACCGCATCAGGGATAACCTGTAATAGTTTAAATTTAAATTGCAAAAAATCTGCCAACTACGTCTTTTACGTACAGCTTGCAGCTCTTGAGCGATGAGGCCAGTTCGCCTGCGCTGTTCTTCACTCAGACCCCACAACTCGGCGATTTCAGGCTTGTAACGGAAATCGACAATACGCAGTTGTTGTAGATGTTCAAGCGCATCGCGTGATGTCTTCTCGACGATATCTTCTTTCAAGCGAATGTCGGACGGACGAGTCATCTGAATCGGTCATTCGTCAAATTGAATGATTGTTAGAATGGGGAATTGTTGTGAAACTCACCTGGCCAGTGATGTAGATATCACCATCAACAGTAAGCTTTGCAGCGGTGCGATCAGTACCGATTGCTACTGGACCATGAGAAACTAGGGTCCCACCATTGCGGTACCATTGTACATCGCTCTCCGGTGGCTCGAATGAACCAGGATTGGTGGCCTGAAAGAGGCCTCAATTTAGTTTCAAATCAATCGTTGTCGACATTGATGATACCCTTTATCTATAGTTGAGTTAATGTATGAGCCATGACGGTAAAAACCTACTCGAACAATAACTTTCTCTGATTGTTGAGCTTGAATGAGAGCCACGCCTTCGTCGGTGCATGCTAGCAGCCTCACGACAAGCAGGAAGTACTTCTGGTCGGGATTCGGTCGATTGTTCTTCCTTTGGTTGTTCAAAGTTGTTTCGGAGAAATGAAGCCTTGGCACGGTCACTTTTGTGATTTCACGAGCATGGATGTTGAGTCTAAAAGATCTTGGTGGTATTACAAAAATCTGGAGTTTTTTTTTGATACCCACGAAATTCAAAAGTCAATTCTATAGCCCTCGCCCCTCTTACACCACATTATTCACTGAGTATGGCATGAGCCGACGCGCGCTGACTATGCAATCAAATGCCCAGTGCCGATTACAGCCGATGAGATGACTTTGTTCATGACTCAGCCCCTTTTGCGGAGGAACAACGGAAAACGTACATGACAGGATCGTGGGGTATTGGTTTACGATCGGTTTGGGATTGTTTGATTTGAATTTCAGAAGACAGCATCTCAGCCTTGACACCACAGAAGGCCAGTTTGATGGCTTTTATCGGATGCATTACGCCGTTCACTTTGACGAATTTGGGCGGATTCTCATCGTTCGCCTCAATGTTCACTGAGATCTGAAAGCAGACAATAGTGATTCGAAGCATTGAACCTCACAGCACAAGCAAGTCACACCTGGAAATGATTCTTCTTCTGGTTAACAAAACAACCATCCGAATTAGAGTAATTGAATCCTTTGTCGGCTACGACGCAGATTTTAAGCTTCGTCAGTTGTTGGTGGTTGATATCATAGAGTGGGTTCCATGACTCTTCTTGGAACGCTGAGAACTTTATCACCTAGAAGGAACACGACGCATGAAATGGAGGCTAAGTTTTGATAAGGTCACACACCCACCTGTTGTGAGAAATTTTCATCCTGATAGGTGCAATCGATAGGACTAGCAGCCACCGGTGCTTGCCCGACGTTCGGGAAAGCTGGAAGGAACTTTGGGGGATCCAGCAATTGGTTGTCGGTACGGGCACGTTTCCTGAAAGTCACACAGAATTGAAGGCACTGTTCAAGGTAATTTTGGAGCATTTAAACGATTTAGAAATTAAAGAATGATGCAAATTAGCGAAGAAAACGTGAAAGGGTGTATTAAGAGAGATATGAGGCTTCAATAAAGCACCAAAGTTCGGGGTAGGACGATAATGTGATCAAAAAAAGTTGCGCTGAAGGGATATATGGAATCATCGCTTACAGCCAGCTATGGTTCTGATGACCTGGCACAGGCGGTCTAGTCTTAAATATAGTAACTAGCGCTACGACGACCAGCTAGTTAATTTTACATCAAGTCTGCTCCAATGCGAACACTTGTGCCCGGCAATCAGACTCCATAGTAGGCCTGACACGATAGTTAGAAACATGTGAACCAACCTTGGAGCTTCACCAGCTTGGTTGTTAATACTGCCTTCGTTGCAGACATTGAGAATGTTGAACAGTCCTGCACTGTATCCACTGTTCACGATATATTGCTGATTGTCATGACGACCGTTTGAAACCGGCGGCGATACCTGAAGGTACCGATATGGATATGGGCAGGAAATGGAGGGCTGGTATAAAGACAGACTCTGACCTGTGGCAGACTACCAGGAGTAGGCTGGCTGGGTGGATACGGGCTCATGAAACACGCATTTTGTGGTGATGTCATCGGATGAGTGACGGGACCGTGTGAGGGTTGATGAAGTTCATGTGACATCATGCCCGGTACACCAAGTATGAGACCGCCGTTGTTGTTGTTCAGGTTACTGTGAATACCTGAAGCAATGTTGACACTAGCTATTCTTTTCAAAACACTAGTGAATGAAAGCAGTGGGGAAATCTGGTATGTAAACACGTCAACACCGTTCTTTCAACCTTTGTGTCAAACCCTATAATGCGTTATAAAAACGGAAGCGAAACGACGACCAAGAAAGCGGAAGGGAAGAGCGAGTTAATAAGTAGCGATGGGAAATAAACACGGCAGGTTTAAGAACTAAAGGATAAGGCCGGTCGAAGATAGAGGAAGAGAAGTCCCGCGAAGAAAATGGCAGGTGGTGAAGGAAAAGAAAACGTCGCAAGGTGGTTTGCACTCATTAAATGATCCGAAAGCAAGAAAAACAGCGAGAAAAAAAAGAAGGCTAAATGAATATGAAGGAAAGGGTAAAGAGGAACAGTAGTGGAGAAGAGGGGGTAAGGGATGTTGGGTGGGAAGGAAAAGCCATCAACTAGAAAAAGAATCGAAGAGAAAGATGAAACAAACTGAAGAACAAAAGAAAATGAAAGAGGAGCATATATAAAACCGGATAAAAAGAAAAGTGAAGAAGGGAGAAAAAAGGAAAACTGTGGTATGATGTAAATGAAGTGGATGTCAAGAGAGTAGAATCTGCGAGACGACAAGGAAAATAACAAAGGGAACCGTTATGTAATCACGATTGTAGGAATAAGAATCAGATGATGAAGTAAAGAAGGAAAGGAGAAGAAGAGGATAGAAGAGACGAAGCGCCAGATAAGATACCATGGAAGAGGCCTTCAATATCCATATCGAACCCGACTACGAGCATAAGGAAAAAAAACAATGTAAACGAAAAGGAACTTGGAATTACATACCGGGATAATTCGGATAGTTCTCTGGTGAATAAGGTGCGTCAGAATTGCTCTCAGGTGACCCGGATGAACCGGCACCAGAAATATCTGTTATTGGTGGTGAATCTGGTAGACGAGTCGCATTCTGAAAAGTATGTAGTCATGTTTATCACTTTTTATTGAAGCACAAACTTGATGGGGTAATCCTGCATAGCCGAAGTAATCGGTAAAGCAGTTTTGACGCTTTAGGGTCACTTCTCCTTATCCGCAAGATTTCTGCATTTCAGCCAAAAGTTAAGGTTGTAAATAAAATTATCGACCTCTAATGAACCTATGCTTTACTAATGTTCCCCAAACTACTAAGCGCCAGTCTTTACGTACGGATTTTTCTGGATTAGAAATTAAAACCTTCACGTTACCTGAAACATTGCGTGCGAATTGTTCTGTTGATTATGTCTGATATCCTGAGCGTTATTCCTTTCGTTGGTTGGTTGATGTGCGTAGCGATTAGTATCAGGACTATCCAGTGGCGTGCTGAAGTCTTATCGGATTACATTATGCACCGACGTAAACGGGAACTTCGAAAATATTATCAACAGAACAAGGCTAGCGCCCGAGATAATCGCTCAGCGAGTGCTTGCAGGGTGCAACGACCGACCGACCGACCAACGGCGGCGCTGGCCATGTGCTGACAACGCTGGTCAGATTGCGTTCAGGGCCACGTGAGTCATGAGGGCACGTGATCAATGGTGTCCAGTGTTGTGAACAAGTAGCCAGCAACGCCGTCGGTCGCTCGGCCGGTCGTTGCTCTCTGAAAGCACCCAGCGAAAGGCGACCGTGGTACGCGAAAAAGATCTTCGAATGCGCTGAGCAGCAGGATAGCGTGCGCAGTAAAGCGCTAATCTTCTAGCGGTCGGAGTCGGCCATTTAGCACGGTGCTAAGAAGAAATGTGATTGTGGTGACCTAAATTATAACGGACTCTACCATAGTAACACCCTCATCGTAGTCCCGATTTTTCTTTTTTTTTTGCGGCGACATCGAAAGGTCAGTTTTTTGACCAGCACAGCATAGGGCAGCCGATATTGCATTGACCCATTAGATTGAAGCAGCGTACATTTGTTAAAACGGCATAACCACACGGCTTTGAATCACCGCGAATCGCAAACATTTCCCAATGGCATCGTTCTTTTAATCCCCGTCGACACCCAGGTGGATATTTTGCTTTGCATCATCATCGTGGATGATTTGCCTAATGGACTAGCGGTACACTTGAACAGTCAGTTATCTTCAGAGTACAGCTGACCTCGAAAAGAAATCGATTCCTATCACATGGGTGATCGCCAGCAAGTAGTGATCAAGAAAATAGAAAAGTCTTTGTTAAGAGCAAGGTCAAACCTAACAATGGGTAAATAATGGCAATGCAGCAAACACCCAGACCATGGAAATTTGCATCCCTTCTATGGGAAACATTGAACTTGTCAAGATACAAGAAGTATTTGTGAAGGAAAACTTGATAACAAACATGCAACCAATTCAAGAAACTCACTTGTCGTTGTGGACAAATTCAAGCAAATTGAAGGTGGATAGGTTGCTAAACTCTCCAAGAGGGTCACCGAGCCCCTCCTCTGAAAATATATTCAATGAGAGAGTAGAAAATGTTGAAAGATAAACCCAGTCGGCTTTTTTCTTCATAATGAAGCGTTTTTTCGAAGCTTATAGCAATCTAACACCACAAGCCTTTGATGGCATGTCTGATTTCGAAACCCAAATTGATGAAACTAAGCCGTATTGCTAAAAGTTATCACCCATGAAACATCTGGGAAGNAATTCAAGCAAATTGAAGGTGGATAGGTTGCTAAACTCTCCAAGAGGGTCACCGAGCCCCTCCTCTGAAAATATATTCAATGAGAGTAGAAAATGTTGAAAGATAAACCCCAGTCAGCTTTTTTTTCTCCATAATGAAGCGTTTTTTTTGAAGCTTATAGCAATCTAACACCACAAGCCTTTGATGGCATGACTGATTTCGAAACCCAAGTTGATGAAACTAAGCCGTATTGCTAAAAGTTATCACCCATGAAACATCTGGGAAGAGGCTATGGGAGTGATGAACGGAAAATGCGTAGAGTGCGAAGCAGTGCTTACCTCTGAAATTGAAAGATCGGCTTTTAGCCATGCAGTTTCATCGAAGAATGGAAGTGTGCTAGTAGTGAGAGAGCGCGTCAACAATAAGGACTGCGCTCCGCCGCCGCCTGGTCGTGCCAGGCCGCGGCGCGGGACCGCCGTCGCCGACGAAGACCTATTTTTCTCTGCGTCCAACTCGGTAACACTGACCCTCAGACTTCCTCCCGATCAGCTCCTGCTCTCTAACACCGCGATCGCCCGCCCATTTCATTTCGTTCCGACGACGGTAAAAATGTAGTTGTAGGGAGGGGAGGGAAGGGGTCAGCGCCCTTATGAATCATTGAATGCTAGCGCGCAGAGGAACGGAGTAGCGAACCTTACTTGAGCTTCGAAATGGTTTTTAGCCAAACGAATATTGTTTTTACCCAACTTTTAGAAGGGGAAAAGCTCCAGGTTGGGTAGGATGGTTATCTTGTGCAAAAAGCTGGGATGGGATAAGAATTGAACATCGAATTGGATCACCCACTCCGGAGCTCCTTTCCCTCTCAGGGCTTAGGTAAAAAAGAACATTTGTCACATAGAGAAGCTATGAAATGCTCCTAAGCATCACTTTGGGCTCGCTAAGTCGGCTATTCTTCCTTCTCCGCGTCCTAGCCACCAAAGACCAAAAGAGCCCACAAGGGGAAAGTCGAAGCCTGACGGACGTCCTCGTCCTCTAGTTGCCAATCACTTTTTTCTTACAACCTTGCGTGTAGCTCTTTTGCTTGAGATGCCCACATAGAGAAACATCAGAAATCCCTACACTAGCTGCTCTCATATCTTAAAAACAATCTTCACCACTGAAGCCAATGGCTGCAGGATTGGCTAAGAACACAAAATGATAGCGCAAGTCTTCCACGGTGTACGTCCCCCCCCCCCGTCCCCATTCCTCTGAGTTCAGACCAATGCGCAATTGGCCCTGACCTTGCGATGGTTCTCGTCGTTTGAACAAAAAAAAGACCGAGGTCAGCGAGCTATTATTGAGCCGCCAGGTAGTGTCATGCCCAAACTCTCTCGCCCCACCTGTACTCTGAAATCGAACTACCCGAACCATTGCCAATTAGAAATATCGTTTTTTACAAACAAAAAGTTTATTTTTTGGAATCTGTCACTCGCTATATACCTCACAAGGTTGCTATTACGCGATTGTTCGCAAACATCCTCCTTCAGTTTCGATTTCATAGCTTTTTCAGTATAAATTCTTCAGATTTGATCATTCTTTTAGAAAGACAGCAAAACTTCTTTGATAATTTTCCCAATATTTCTATTTACATGATTTCCTGACTTCTTATTTATCGGATCAATCTTTTCAATCTCTGTTGTTCCCATTTTCATGAAAGTAAGAATGTGGGACAATGAGTAAGAATGTAGTTAGAAAAAACGTTGATCGGGAACCGTACTAAGATGCATGAACTTATATCATAAATTTTTATTATACATTTTAAAGTGTATTACTGTGTGTACTGTATAGCCATTATTAGGAATGGATGGAACTGATATTCTTGAGACTACTGACTACCACATTTCCTACTCTTCAATTGGATGTGTGCATAGTTTTACCCACTTAGTCTTCACCCTTAAAGGCACAGTTCACAAGAAAATGGTTTCTAAGATTTCGGCCCAGTGCTGCTGGATTGAAAAACGGCATAGACGTACACGTTTTAGGGTCATTATTACGTAGAACGTAATAAGGACCCAGCTGAGCTATACACACCCGAGGTAGACGGGAGTTCTCACAGCGTTGTAAAGGCTGTAGAGGTTGCACCATTCTCACCGAGACGCATACGTTGCACGCAGACAGGTTACTGTAATCAG